GTATCTAAAATGACGGTGTCAATACCAATACGCGTAGTAGCGCGGAAAAACGGGGGCTTGCGCCCCATTCCGTTTTTTTCATTTTGGGCAACTAGTGGCATATCACGGCTATATTACCACTATACAGGCCCTCTATAACGGTTCTCCATATATAGACCTCCAGATAATGACCTCCCAAAAACGGTCCTCCATAAAGACCCCTAGTCTTGACCTCCCTAAAACTGTTCCCTCTTTATATAACGGCCCATTTAATAACGGCCTTCCTTTTAATGGCTCCTGTAACGGCCCCTTTTATACCGTTCCCATATAATGGCTCCCTATATATTTCTATATAACCGCTCCATTTATAACGATCCCCCTCAATGGTCTCCTTTAATAACGGTTCCATAAATAACGGTCCCCTTTAATAATGGCTTAATAACGGTCCCCTTAATAACGGTCCCCTTAATAACGGTCCCCTTAACGGTCCGGCAGGTGGGCGGGGTACGGCTGTTGCCCGTGCGCTGGATGGCCCCCGAGTCGCTGCTGTACGGCCGCTTCACGGTCGAGACGGACGTCTGGAGCTACGGCGTCCTGCTGTGGGAGCTCTACACGTACAGCCTGCAGCCGTACTACGGCTGTACCAACGAACAGGTGAGGGCCGTACACGCACAGCCTGCAGCCGTACACGCACAGCCTGCAGCCGTACTAAAGCCTGCAGCCGTACACGCACAGCCTGCAGCCGTACACGCACGGCCTGCAGCCGTACACGCACAGCCTGCAGCCGTACACGCACGGCGTGCAGCCGTACACGCACGGCGTGCAGCCGTACACGCACGGCTTGCAGCCGTACACGCACGGCCTGCAGCCGTACTACGGCTGCAGGGACGAACAGGTGTCCACACTGAAGAAATTGTCCACATATTCATATAAATATCATAGTGCCGTACACGCACAGCCTGCAGCCGTACACGCACAGCCTGCAGCCGTACACGCACAGCCTGCAGCCGTACACGCACACTTTATCTAGTCTGTTCTTGTTCTTTATCTAGTCTGTTCTTGTTCTTTATCTAGTCTGTTCCTGTTCTTTATCTAGTCTGTTTTTGTTCTTTATCTAGTCTGCTCTTGTTCTTTATCTAGTCTGTTATTGTTCTTTATCTAGTCTGTTCTTGTTCTTTACCTAGTCTGTTCTTGTTCTTTATCTAGTCTGCTCTTGTTCTTTATCCAGTCTGTTCTTGTTCTTTATGTAGTCTGCTCTTGTTCCTTATCTAGTCTGCTCTTGTTCTTTATTTAGTCTGTTCTTGTTCTTTATCTAGTCTGTTCATGTTCTTTATATATTCTGTTCTTGTTTTTTATCTAGTCTGCTCTTGTTCTCTATCTACTCTGCTCTTTATCTAGTCTGTTCTTGTTCTTTATCTAGTCTTTTCATGTTCTTTATCTAGTCTGTTCTTGTTCTTTATCTAGTCTTTTCATGTTCTTTATCTAGACTGTTCATGTTCTTTATCTAGACTGTTCATGTTATTTATCTAGTCTGTTCTTGTTCTTTATCTAGTCTTTTCATGTTCTTTATCTAGTCTGTTCTTGTTCTTTATCTAGTCTTTTCATGTTCTTTATCTAGACTGTTCATGTTCTTTATCTAGTCTGTTCATGTTCTTTATCTAGTCTGTTCTTGTTCTGTATCTAGTCTGTTCATATTCTTTATTTAGTCTGTTCTTGTTCTTTATCTAGTCTATTCATGTTCTTTATCTAGTCTTTTCATGTTCTTTATCTAGTCTGTTCTTGTTCTTTATCTAGTCTTTTCATGTTCTTTATTTAGACTGTTCATGTTCTTTATCTAGTCTGTTCATGTTCTTTATCTAGTCTGTTCTTGTTCTCTATCTAGTCTGTTCATATTCTTTATCTAGTCTGTTCTTGTTCTTTATCTAGTCTGTTCATGTTCTTTATCTAGACTGTTCATGTTCTTTATCTAGACTGTTCATGTTATTTATCTAGTCTGTTCTTGTTCTTTATCTAGTCTGTTCTTCCTCTTTATCTAGTCTGTTCTTGTTCTTTATCTAGTCTGTTCTTGTTCTTTGTCTAGTCTGTTCATGTTCTTTATCTAGTCTGTTCTTGTTCTTTATCTAGTCTGTTCTTCTTTATCTAGTCTGTTCTTGCTCTTTATCTAGTCTACTCTTGTTCTTTATCTAGTCTGCTCATGTTCTTTATCTAGTCTATTCTTGTTCTTTATCTAGTCTGCTCTCGTTCTTTATCTAGTCTGTTCTTGTTCTTTATCTAGTCTGTTCTTGTTCTTTATCTAGTCTGTTCTTTCATGTTCTTTATTTAGACTGTTCATGTTCTTTATCTAGTCTGTTCATGTTCTTTATCTAGTCTGTTCTTGTTCTTTATCTAGTCTGTTCTTGCTCTTTATCTAGTCTGTTCTTGTTCTTTATCTAGTTCAAACCACATGTCGGTGGTTCTAAGCGAAAAGAAATGTAGCGTGGATGAGTATAATTGCAAATATTCAAATATGTATTCAAATAATATTGTCGAAATAGTGACACTTTTTGTACGTAGTATTAATACGTCTCTTTACTGGGAAAAACTGCATCAGGATGACCCATATGCTGGCAAAACGCATCGCTTTATGGACAAAGAGAGCTTGGGGAGGGCTGGGGAAGGGCTGGGGAAGGGCTGTGGAAGGGCTAGGAAGGGGCTGGGGAAGGGCTGGGGAGGGGCTTGGGAAGGGCTGGGGAAGGGCTGGGGAAGCGCTGGGGAAGGGCTGGGGAAGGGCTGGGGACTGTCTCTTATACACATCTAGATGTGTATAAGAGACAGGCTTGCAGCCGTACACGCACGGCCTGCAGCCGTACACGCACGGCCTGCAGCCGTACACGCACAGCCTNAAAAAGCCCTTGTTTGGAGCACTTAGCCTCCCCAGTCTTTCATGCTGGGGCTACCGTGGCCTCCCCTCCCCCTCCCCTCCCCTCCTCTTCCCCAACCCTGGGGCTCGGTTCAGCCTCACAAGCCCCAATTATCTCTTGTAATATATTAATGTCTTATAATATTTTTTATAATGTCTTTATAATATTATATAATATTATTATTATAATGTCTTCTATAAATATTATAATATTTATCTATACGATAAATATTATATCTATTATACATCTTATTATATCTCTAATAATATATATCATAAAATCTATAATATATCTTTATAATATTATCTTCATATCTTAAATATTTCTTTAATATTTTGACGTACACAGACACATATATTGTCTACAGCTGTTGCCGCTGTCTACAGCTGTTGCCGCTGTCTACAGCTGTTGCTGCTGTCTACAGCTGTTGCTGCTGTCTACAGCTGTTGCTGCTGTCTACAGCTGTTCCCATGGGGAGGTCGTTAAGTTAATCCCCATGGGGCTTGCGCTGTAAATCCCCGAGCAAACATCTTCTCTGCGCCGGTTACAGAGGGGATTTTAATCCCCTCTTTAGATTAATTTTAGAGGGGATTTTAATCCCCTCTTTAGATTAATTTTAGATTGGATTTTAATCCCCTTGTAAATCCCCCTTCACCCCTTGAGGGGTTTAATGGGTTATTCACCCTCAGCTTCAACCCCCTCATTAACTGTGTTGGTTGTATTTAGCCCATAATTAATCCAATGGACTATTAAACAAAAATTGGTAATATGATTTAAACTATTTAATTGAAATCGGCCGATAATGGAAATGGGTAATGGCAACGTAGAAGTAATGGGTAATGGTAAAGTGGAAATAATGGGTAATGGTGACGGACGTAGAAATAATGGGTGATGGTAACAAAAAAATTGGTAATGGTGATGTAAAAGTAATGGGTAATGACGTTGAAGTAATGGTAATGGTGATGTAGAAGTAATGGTAATGGTGATGAAGAAGTAATGGGTAATGGTGACGTAGAAGTAATGGGTAATGGCAACGTAGGAGTAATGGGTAATGGCAACGTAGGAGTAATGGGTAATGGCGACGTAGAAATAATGGGTAATGGTGACGTAGAAATAATGGGTATTGGTGACGTAGAAGTAATGGGTGATGGTGACGTAGAAATGGGTAATGGCGACGTAGAAATAATGGGTAATGGTGACGTAGAAATAATGGGTATTGGTGACGTAGAAGTAATGGGTGATGGTGACGTAGAAGTAATGGGTGATGGTGACGTAGAAGTAATGGGTATTAGCGACGTAGAAGTAATGGTTTATGGTGACGTAGAAGTAATGGGTGGTGGTGACGTAGAAGTAATGGGTAATGGCGATGTAGAAGTAATGGGTAATGGTGACGTAGAAGAAATGGGTAATGGCGACGTAGAAGTAATGGGTAATGGTGACGTAGGAATAATGGGTAATGGCGACGTAGGAATAATGGGTGATGACGACGTAGAAATAATGGGTATTGGTGACGTACAAGTAATGGGTGATGACGACGTAGAAATAATGGGTATTGTTGACGTAGAAGTAATGGGTAATGGTGACGTAGAAATAATGGGTAGGTAATAGGAAATAGGGAATAGGTAATAGGAAATGGGTAATGGCGACGTAGAAGTAATGGGTAATGCCGACGTAGAAATGGGTAATTGGCACGTTTAAAATGTTGAATTGTGTTAAATATAAATGTTTGATTTTGCACATAACCAATATATGGGTATGTATGAATGAATTACTCATCATATATGGTTACAATAAAGGTAAATATTATATTATTTAACAATTACCATAGAAGGTCACAACAAAGGTAAATATTATATTATTTATTAATTACCATGGAAGGTCCAGTAGAGGGTAATATCAAGCACCTAAAGAGGGTAATGGCAGACGGTATGAATAGGGACAGAAATGTGACAGAGGGCCATTGACAGAGAGGGACTTCCTGCCGTCTACTGAGGGGAGTGAGGGGAGTGAGGGGAGTGAGGGGAGTGAGGGGAGTGAGGGGAGTGAGGGGAGTGAGGGGAGTGAGGG